TGTACAGTGGTTGTATGATTAATTCCAAACTGCAATTGTCAAAAATTTTCACAGGTTAATTTCAAACACCAAAAATACAGTATATAAAACGAATTGCAGTCAAAAAAGAAACAAGAACTTTCGAACTAATTTTGTCTTCTAAAACCTTTTTTCCATGGCAAGTCCGGATATTACATTTTCATGTAGGTGCTTCACAGGAACAAAAATACAACCGCATTATATGATTTTTGAACATAATCGCTCACTATGTAAAGTTCCCTTTTCTTCGAAAAATCGAATTGTGCTTTCTTTATCTTTCGGCAATTGCCAAATTCTAAAATCGATTATAACTCGAAATAGAAAAAGGCTTTGGAATAAAAATTCGAAAAAGCGTTCAAAAATTAAAAACCACGAAGCGTGTGCGAATTCAGTTGTCCTACCGGGACTCAACAAACAGCTAAATTGTGTTATCAATCAACTCTTTCCAGGCCATTGACAAACTAATTCCTCTTTATTGTTTACGCACATTTATGTAAAATTGGATTTAAATATCTGCACAGCCTCCAACCATGTGAGGTGTTGCGTGGGGGGCGAAGTGAAGATGAGTTTGGCCCAGTTAATGTCCGCAAAGACGTCCGGAATGTATCCAGTATGCATAATAAATAAACGGATAAATGTAAAACGTCAAAGAAGTTAGCCTACGTACTACCATCATGTTCTATCTTATAATATCCTGGAGATGGGTTGATGATGATAATAATAATAATATTGTAATAAGCGATTTCTTTCTGTTTTAATAATGGTCATTTTCATAGTATTAAATGACGTTTCCTACTCCTAAATGAAATAATCTCATTATTCGTGTATGTAGGGAGGACCGTGGTAGTTCTTGCATGCTGTATATCAGCGAGATTATCTTGCAAATGGAGCGTTTAGTTGACCAATGTATACCAGGTCTCTATCGTATCTATTGTCCTTTACACTGTATACTCCATGGAGTCTGTTTGGGTTCCGAGAGACCTTCCCATTACGCATCATGTCAAAAATAATCGGGCTCCTCCTATAAGCGAGACACACCCAGCGTTACCTGGTTGTATTTTAATGATTTTAATTATACCAACACGAAAATATGCTAATCGATTTCGATACGAAACCTGCATTAATACTCTTTGTTCAAATTCATAATAGACTATTATAACTTATTCATATTTAAAAACAAGGTAAGGTTTGATTTCTATAATATTTTTTGTACGATTTAATAAAAATTAAAACCAATATTACGATGTAAACACAAATTGGATTAAATCAGTTGACTGGTATCCCGTTATGCGAAAAATACCTTAATTTTTTATTAAAGTACATACGCGAGGGACCTGCAGAAAAGGAAAATAATTGAAATTTCTTATTAACAAATAAAATAATTTCATTATTTGAAACATTTTCATATAACTTATTCATAACGTATGTATCTCGTTCGTATTCATAACATATGTAGCAGACGATCTCGGCTGGCATCGCTCGAACAAAAAGTAACGATAGTCGATCTGACCCGTTTTCACCGGGACAAGAATTAGATCGTCCCTGTACGGAGACAAATAATTTTTAGATAGTCTAAAAATATGTTTCATTTACTGCAAAAACAAAAAAAAAACCGCATCTAAAATACTACAATACAAGCAGATATGCTTCAGGTTAAACCTTAACCATCTCCCTCTGCCCCAAAGTTGATTTTCCAAAAATACTTTTTCGTGTACATTAACATGACGTACTCTGTCTACAAAATTTTAACATTCAACTCTCAACCGTTTGGGCTCTGCGCTTAATAATATCATTATCAACTCGTCTCGATTATATTATAAGATTAGGGTCAAATTTATGAGAAATTTCTTTTTCACTATTCTATTTATCTGATACCTGAAAAAATGATTAAAATTATAATTAAATCTTAACTGAATAAATGTTTATTACTTAAAAAGATTTTTTCTTTAAATAATTTTACAAAATAAAAAAATCCAGAAACTTTTTCATTAAAATGGAGCTTACTTGATGATAACCTTACTAGAATTAAATGATTTTTTTATCTTAGAATTTAAAATTAAACATGTTTGGAACATTATATTTCGAATTTGTGATGAACTCAAATATTTCTTCGAATTTGTTTATTTTGATGTTATTGTTTTTGAATTATTCGAAAAGTAAAAATGAATAAAATATTTATTAATTGCCAAAATGTATAATGTATGTGCCACTATTTATGTTTATTATTGTTTATTAACTTGTTTATTATTTACACTTCATACTGACTAAAATTAATTCTCTCCTTATCCTCCCTCAGGGGAATGAAATTTTCAAACATCTCTACTTAATATACTTTCTCATGACGTATTCTAACTGTGTACCAAATTTCAGCTTTCAACTCCTAACCGTTTGGGCTATTTGCTTATTATTATAATCATTATCATCAACCCATCTCCAGGATATTATAAGATAGAACATGATGATAGTACGTAGACTAACTTCTTTGACGTTTTATATTTATCTATTTTTTTATTATGCATACTGGATACATTCCTTGATGCGGGGAGAAATGCCATCTCCCCAAAACAAATTATTTAGATACAACACATTGAACAAAATCATAAGCAAAAATATACAATTATTGTAGGGTATTCTATGTCTAGTTAATGGTTAAAGTTGTTTATTTGTTTGGCTTGTCCAATACCATTTTACTGGACCCCACCCATCGGGATTCTTTTTGTACATCTCTACTCGTCTGGTTTGTATATCTACATCTGTTTCATCAGTGTATAAATATGTACCGTATCTATCAGTATGTATATTGTTATCATCGGCCGGCAAAACAGCACTCTGCTCTGTATATCTATTTGTATTCTAAACAAATACGGTATAAGTCGTATGTATGATCGCAAATTTACCTTCCTTNTTTAAATCAAAAGAGAATAAAGTTTAAATCAGTACGTTTCTCACTGTGTATGTGTGAGGGGCTAGCCAGGGATACGGAGTAGTTTTACTCGTGTACCACATAATTGGCGTCCAGTTGTTAAACTAGTCCTCTGTTTGTCAAAAAGAATGGCTTTTCTGTCCAAAGAAATCGAAGATGGAGGGCTTTAACTAATAGGTTAATTTACAGTGGAATTAGATGATCATGTAATCACCCTCATCCTTCCGTCAGGATTCCCGACACCAGTTAATCAATTATTTTACACGCGGATTAACACGCGCTATCCCTAACTTGTGAGTAAGAGGAGCAAAACAAATTTAAAGATAATATTAACCAAACCATTTTTATATAACAAATCAAAACGTTTAATGAATCAAAATATAAAATATACAAAAGAATGAATCTAACCTAATCCTAATCCTAAATCTTAACCCTAGATTATTTCTAAACCTAACGCGTGAGAGAGAGAGTTCACATCGATCTAACTTATATTACCTTCTACAGGTATTTCATATATTCTCTGTATCTATATGAGGGTCTTCTTCCTTTCTTGATATTCCTCTTATATTTTCTATGGACAGTTCCTTTAAATCTTCTCTTTTAACGATCTTGTATACTTCGATTGTAGTACTATGTTTTATGACTTCCTTTCGGATTCTTATAACAGCCTTGCATGACGATACTTTTTGTATGACGATCCTCCCTTCGACGGACTGCCTTTATTGTATCTCGGACTTTCTTCATGTGGCAACCTTTTCCCAACGGACTGCCTCGAGTGGCGAGAAAATGTCCTTTTTATTTGCTCTCCAGTAACGTGTGCAAAAACTCATGCGACTCATCATGAGTCGGCCTGGGAAAGGAAATCAACTTCCTTTCAAAATAGAAAGTTTCATCCGTTTTTTGTAAAATTTGTTAAAGTTTAAAAATATTATTTTCTCTTACATTTTTTAAAAATTCTTTGTCTCTACTTTGTTAATTTTCAGAATGACCATCTCCTGAATTTCCATATTCTCACATATGGAATAATACGGGAAATCTCTTCTGTCAGTATGCGATATATCGAGGTGGCAACATTTAACTTTTGGCAAAAAAAAAAAAAGAATTATTTAACTGAACTGTTTACAAACTAAAACAAGTTATAATCACTTACGCTCATTTTATTCTCGACAAAACGGCAATTTTTGTTTAAAACAAGAGTCGAAGCTAGCGGCCTGTATCCGGCATACGAGCCGTTAAAGCTTCATATTTTTAAAAGTAAATATTTCTAACATTATGAGGTGAGTAAAACACATCTTGCAATGGTTGCTTTTTAAGTACTAAGTGTATTCAAATTAATAATTATGTAATAACTTTACAGTTGGCAGTTTCTCTATCTTGTTTCCAGCATAAGGGAAACTGTTTCATTCTAGCAAAATCGCAGTTATACAGTAATAGGCACTTTGCCAGATCACGGTGTAAGCAGAAATAAATAAGTGCTCCGGTTAAAGAGAATAAAATTATTACGCTGTTGCTTTATCCTTTCTCTCTTCTTAACACTATCCTCCTATGGAAAAATCTATTCGTTTGTTCTGCAGTGTTAAACTCTAGCATATGATATGAAATTATGATTGTATGTGTAATATTAGCAGAAAAATTGTTTCTCCATGTTTGGACTCGCATCTACAGTCTTGCAGATGTATACAGCGGAATGTTTGCATGTACACGAAACTTACTTGTGCATGTTAAATGAAGCACAACTAATTAATAGCGTTTTTAGAGACAAAATAGAAAGTGCACAACGCATTAATTTTATCAGAATATCATTATGCAAAAGCATGTTAATTTCAAATGAAGAGGTTAATTCGAATATAAGATATTATATCTATAGCATTGTCTCAAAATATAATTTGTATTCGACGAAATTTTAAATATCCAATATAAATAAGATTGTCTATATTTGTCGTTTTAATTGAATTCATTAATTAATTTTCATAATATATGATAAGGAAATATGATAAAACATATTTTTCTAGTTTAATAAACACTAACATTAATTTTTATTTATGCTACAGAATTAGAAATGAAGACTTTGTCAACAAGAATTACTTACGGAATGATCATTATGTTACAGTTCTTCAAAGACAGCAATAATTTTCCAACATTTGGTAAATTCAATAAAAATACAATACAGGTTTTGAACACTACACTTTACACATTTTTTAGCATTCCTTACTCTACACCTTCAATTGATGAGTTAAGGTTTCAAGAACCTCAACCAGTTCACTATAAAACGAATATTATATATAATGCAACACAGAAGTCACCTTCGTGCATACAAGATCCGTTTTTCCCAGTATTAGAATGGATCGATCGCAATCCTAAAGATCTCAGCGAAGATTGCCTCTATCTTAACATTTGGGTACCAAGCTCAAAGCCAGATAGAAAACCATTTGCTACCATGGTTTGGATACATGGAGGAGCATTTAGCATGGGATCTTCCAATATCAACCTGTTTGACGGCGCTGTAATTGCGGCAGTGGGAAACGTCATTGTAGTTACATTCAATTATCGCGTTGCTGCGTTAGGTTTCGCAAATTTTAATAACGAAGACGCACGAGGAAATATGGGCATGTTAGATCAAGTAATGGCTCTCAAATGGGTGCATCGAAATATCGAAACATTCGGAGGTGAAAAAAATTTGATAACTGTTTTCGACCAGAGTTCGGGAGCCATCCCTATCGCTCATCACATGATCTCGCCTCTTACTAAAGGCTTATTCAACAGAGTAATTTTGCAAAGTGGGAGCAATTATCAAGAACAGTGTTTTTCAACCTGTGGGTCGCGACCCCCAGGGGGGTCGCGAAGCTTTACACGGGGGGTCGCGGGTAAAAGAAAAAGACAAGTGTTTGTAGGTCCTATACTACATTAAAAAAAACTACAATTTCAGCAAGAAGGCTGTACTTGTTTATTATACAGTACAGTTGGTTTTTTGATTGACATTTAGGTCCGAATGATGGGTATCGCCTGGGAGGGGCCTGGGTGGGTACGGCCCACCCCAGAAAATGATTGCTGAAAAAGTGTTGAGCTGACTTGTAAAAAGAAGTAATAAGTAGAGAAGTAGAAGTGAAAAACCCTCATCCCCCAAAAAAAGGTCAACAGCACTCCGAACCCATTGTTATTATAAGAAGGAAGTAACATACTATACGTGTCTTAAGTTATTGTCGATTCTCCTCGATTTTAGTCATCAACAATAATTTCCCTCAACAGAAAGAAAATTAAATACATATTTTTTAAAATCACTGATATAGTTTTAATATGGCCCTAGGTGGGTCGCCAGAATTTTTTAACTTGTAAAGGGGTCGCGTATTCAAAAAGGTTGAAAAACACTGATCAAGAATATTATGCTGTGAATGCTACATTCAACAGAGAAAATACGGTCGTGCTTTCACAGGAAGTCGGCTGCAACGTATCTATGTTAACATGTATGAGAGAAAAGAGTGCATATGAAATTGTTGAAGCTGAAAAGCGATTGATTAAACGACAACGAACAATACTATATTATCATCCACAAGTCGGTCCTCCATTTCTATCTGACGATCCATTTTACGATATTGACGCCGGCAAATTTCATGATGTCGAAGTATTAATAGGCAGTGTAATGGATGAAGGCACACCTTTCGTTATTGCATTGAATCCATATTTAGCCATAGAAAACAAGCCAATTTTATCAAAAGCAGAGGCGAAAGATATTATGAGTAAATTTTACAAATTAACTGGAGAATATCTTGACCGTATTGTAAAGAAATATTTAGGAAATGTGGCAGAAAATGACTATTCAGAAATTCTAAAACAAACAATCAAAGATTTAGGCGACGCAGCATTTTCATGCCCCATATCACATTTAGTGGAAAGACTTTCACAATATGATCACACAGTCTACGTTTATAAGTTCAATCATACTCGAATCAAATCTCTGTTTAAAAGATGGATGGGAGTTCTACACAACGAAGATTTGCATTTCGTGTTTGGAAGACCATTATTAAAACAGAAAGATTACACCGAAGAAGAAGTATTGTTTAGCAGGAGAATTATACAACTTTGGACGTCGTTCGCTAAAACTGGGTGAGCTTTAGTTTTATAATGTGTGTTTCTAAGTTAGAAAAATACATAAAGTATTTCATTTGAAGCATTTAAATGTATGAAATATTGTATGTAGTATTTAATATACACAGTTTATTTATAATGATTTAAAACTTTACTTAATATTACGTGTTCTTTATTAATCAGGATTGACTATGAGAAACTGTTATAGATCTGTTTTCGTTACTAATTATCAAAATTTGAAACTGATTTCTATGATTACACTTTATGTAAAGTATGCGTATTTTATTCGATAGACAGCATTTTATAGCAAATTACATAAGAAATAATAATTATATAGAAATATTAATTATGCTATTCCGAAATTCTATTTTACATCAAGTATTTTTAAAACACTATATTACGCAATTTTATTATATGAATAAACTGTAATAATCCTTCAATAAGAAAACTCACTATTGTATAAAGATTTAAAAAATTAATATATTTTATTCACTAGGAAACCCACTTTCGATGAAATGCAGTTTGAATGGAAACAGTTCGATAAGCACCAACGCAACTTCCTTTCTCTGACTCTTGGTAAAATTCGTCCTATGAAAGCAGATTTGGAAGAAAATTGCAAATTTTGGAAAGAGCTACTCAGAGAATATACAAATAAAATGTACATGCACTAATTATAAATTTGGATTTATATATGGTTATATCTTGAAAAATTTAAGGTTTGAAGTTCCATTCACTCTTCCTACAGAAAGAACAATTTTTTTATATAAATGTAAACACTTTACCTTCGAAAATTTCAATAAAATGATAATATAATTTGTTTGAGTGTATAACTTTTTTTTCTTTACAATGAAATTATGATTGGTGTTACGCTATATCTAATGTTAAATAAAATACCAATGCGCAAGTAATAATGCAGAGCAATTTATAAGTTAATACTTGTCAAGGATTGAATATACACAACAGTAACAATATCTATCTATATAACCTATTGAACGCGTGTCCGTCCTGTCCGTCAGCGTAACTGTATGCCAAAAACGGGCACTAGTGGCGCCCTAGCGATGATTTTAAATTAACAATAAATTATTTTTATTTGTAACAGGAATTTATTATCTATACCACGGAATGGTATAATTTTATATGCCTTGATTAACCTTGCGCCGCACGTTTACAACATCCCGTGACTCACAAACAGTGAACGTCGCGCATTGACTCACAGGAAATTTGTTGAAAAAATGGCGGTTACATTTAAAATCGAGGTTTACAACCGAAGGTAAATAAACAAATTAAACTATTTTAAAGTTTTATAGAAAGTTTATTAGATAGAAATATAGATTTGTATGACGCGATTGGGTCTTTAACAGAGCTTCAGAGCATATTGACAGGAACAAAAAAGTCAAAGGAACCGTGCCTCATGAGAATTTGTAAAGAACACCCACAAAGGAGTGTCCCAGGCTACTAGTATAACATAATTTCAACTGATACATTACATATAACGCACTAAAATGTGTTTTAAGAGTAAGTGTTTTATATAATTTATGTAAATTGTAATATGATTATTGGCTTAATAATTCTAAAATTGTCCGTGTTTTTATAGATATTAAAATGACAGAATCGTTTTCAGATTTCGCCTGTTCTGTCCTTTTTTCGCATCTGCATTAATGTAGCCTTGGGCATCATATATTATCAGGCTGAAGGTACCGTTGTCGCCACTATAGTAATAATAAAGTATTTTAGAAAACACATAAATACATAGCATATGACAGAAATATTTGGCCTAAATTCACAGGCTTGTAGAATGTAGAAGATAAAATATCAAGGGATTTTTTCATCTAATATATATATATCGAAGTCATGAGAACTATATAATATTCTTACAGAAAAATAGGTCTTAATGCACAAGGAAATATTTAATGAAATATTTTTTATTTTTATTTATATAAATTTAAATTTATTGTTATGCAATGTGAAAATTACTCAATCTGTTTTTTAACAAAATGGGTCTTACTTAAACGATGTACAGTACGTCCCTTGACCTGTTGGTATTCTATAGATGCTTCTACAACACCCAAAAATTGCGTTTCTAGCTTCCTATTTTATTAAGTCCTGCCCGATGTGTTATGACATACTGTCAAAACTGATTAGTATCATAAAAAACTCGAGACAATCAGATATACCTAGATATATAAAGATAATGGGTTAAAAGTAATTAGACAATTATTATTCATGTTATAAAAATTCATAAAAACATAACATGTTATGTAAAATAAAAAGTATTTTGCTTATTTTTCACTATATATAAACATACATATATTACAGTAGGGTCTATCGACTTTCACACGAATTAACATTTCAAAGCGTATAACAGAATATACTTCTTACGCAAGTCTTCCACTTAAAATTTAATGTTACAATTAATTTATTTATTTTGAATGTACGACGACTTCTTGTTTTATACAAAAATTTCGATTTACAGTAAAATATAAATTTTTCATTAAGAATAGTCATATTTAAGTTACTCCTGTTACAGTTGATTTATTCTTAATTTTATAGAGAATAATTATATGTCAATGAAAAAATCGATTACTCTCACTAGGAATTTTCCTTAACTTAATTATAGTCAATATATTTGAATGTTCCTTACAAGTTCAAACTTTTATTTTATAACAACTATTTTCTGTATTATAGTCACTGTGCATTACTAATGTTATGCTAATTTGTTAGTAATAATTTGCATATAATATCGACATCTTGCAACAATGAATATTTATTATTAAAGAAGATTACACAATTTACCTTGTATTCCATTTTACGAAATATAATTAATAAATCGCATTTAAATGTATTGTGCTTACTTAATTACTGTGAGATCCGGAATTTTATTAACGAAAATTACGCTCTTATATTAACTAAAATTTTAATTAATTTACTTTCGTTTATGTAACGAATTAAAAAAAAAACGATCTTAGTCGGGAATGTGTAAACCTTCCGATCATAACTATCAACATCTATTGTTCTCTGCAGAACTTGCAGCTCATCTTGCAGAAAAGTTTATAGTTAACATCCAACTTTCGTCACTTGTTTTAGGACCCTGGAACACCTATAACCTTTAACTCATGAATATCCGATCACGTGGTGGAAATTCCCCACAAAAAGCTATAAAAGACAGTTCTTACCCCCTCTCGGGGGAGTCTCTTAACGAACGCCGGACCGACGACATCGCGCCAATTCTCCGAACCCGCCGAATTCTGATCTACGATCGTTGAGAACACATCATCGCCAAAGTCACGAACTTTTTATATTTGTGCTCACTGGATTAAAGACATCGTTTATTGGACAATTAAATATCTACACGGACTTACTCGTCACGGAACCTACAAAGAGGTATGAAAAGCAGAAAAACTCTCTCTCTCGAAATATTAAGCAGTTTAGAAACGCAATTTGTGTAGTCTTTTGGTCCACTTTGCTTATTTTAATAAATTGTTGTTATATTTGTTACAAAGGGTAGACTCCTTTACTCGATCACGCCCTTCACCTTATCGTCGACTCCAAAATTCTCTCCCTTCACTCGCCTGACTTGTCATCCTGACTAGTGACGCAAACCGGGAGATCTCTGACCTCCCCTGCGGTTCTCATTACATTTATAACAGACAAATGCTGGTTAATAAAGTTCAATAAACTTAATAGGCAAATGTGATATATGTAGAATAATCTGTAAAAAATAAAAATCGCTTTTTAATATTTATCAGATTAGTTAAATGTTAAAATATAAAATATTTTTGGGTGAATGCCTAATTATCGAGACTCGAAAGCCTGCTTATCTTATAATACAATCGAGAGCGGTTAATAATAATAATCATAATCAATGCCGAGCTCAAACGGTTAAAAATTAATAGTTAAAATTTGATACACAGTTAGGATATGACATGAGAATGCACACTAAGAAGAGATTTTTGGAAATTCCATTCCCGAGAAGAAGAAGGAAAGTGAAAAATTATTCTGAAGAACTCGGCTTCTACTGTACTATTTTGTATGCGGTTTTTTACGTTTTTGCGGCAAATCGAAGATATTTTTAGATTCATTTGAAAATTCTCTAATTAGCCTAGGAAGAGAGATGCCTTATTTTTACACCCGGTGAAAACGGGTAAGATCATCTATATAATTATAACGTTAAAACGTCTAATGACCAAACGAATAACCAATGACCAATGTAACACACTTTTCAAATTTTTGTTCTTCTACTGTACAATTTAAAGAATATTTTAAAATGTGTTAGATTGGGCAGTACGTGTGATAAACTCTTACGTAAGATAACCTTTGTAGTTATATAAACCAAATACTATAATACAATATAATGGAAGAATTAGAAGTACGAAAATAATCTAATATTCTTAATCATTGCTGTCGTTATTTTTTCCCGAGCAGCACTGGGCCTATCTGTTAGTTAAACTATAACTAAATAGTACGATTCTTCAATCAATGTAAACTCGCTCATAATTAAGAGTTAAAATTAAAGAAATAATTTAAAAAGCAGGCTAATTTATAAATTAAAAATGAATGAAATTACTAAAAATATTCAAATGATTTTATATTTCATTATCTTTCGTAAGAAAAAACACTAGCTCACTTTCTATAGTTTTGCCTCAAAGAAACGAGAATTGCAATTAACTAAAAAATTGTAATTAAAGTTTTAAATAATGCAGACAAAATTAATGCAAAATGAAATAAATAAAAATAAATAAAAATTATAAATATAATCATAAAAACTAAAACTAAATTAATACAAAATAAATGAAACTTGAGAATTAATTAAAACTAATAATAATAATTAAATTAATAAATCATTTAAAAATATTGTGTGTGTTAAATAAAACATAACTTTAAGAAAATAAAGGCATTTGAAATATCTAGAAAAGCTTAATTTTAATATGTATCAATTAAGCACCCTTTGACGTTATTTAAAACATTTCATTGACAAAAGGTAGTTATAATGGAATAATTCCAAAAACGTTGATTTATTTCGAATTCATTCATTCTAACATCGAAGGTTCTAAAAATCCTCCTACGTTACCTTAAAAATCGAAACCGACATTATTTTTTGGAAGAATGTTTAAAATATAAAGAATTATTAAGTAATTTAAAAAATTTTATAAATAAATATTTTTGAAAAATTTTTGCCTAGACGGTTAGAAACAACTAGTTGTGTAAAACACACAGATGTTCTATTTGATTCAAGTTTTCAGCTGCATCTATAGTTTTATGAGTCACACCGTCACATTCAGCTTCCTTGTACAATACATGTTATTGCTAAATTTATATTTGAATATAAATACGCAATAAATTAGTTGAGTTTAAAACTTTCACTTTTACGAGTATAGTAATCTCCGACTTCCTAAAAAGGTAATTTATTTCCAAGTTTAATTATGGAAAATGTGTATTATCCTTTTTTTGAATGTAATATTAAATTTGTACTTGTGTTAAAACTAGAAAGAAAAATTAAGCAAAATATATCCGTAAAATACAGTAGTAAAAAAACGTACTTTGCCTTTGAAAAGTCAAAAAGGGATTAATAAATTTCATAAAATACAAATAAGGTAAGCTATGTTAAAATTATTTTATTTCTAATAATTTATTCGAAATTTCTTTGATTTTATCTTCTGTGGGTCGCTACTGTCTCTGTTTCATCTGCATAATTTTTCATACATTCAGAATCAAATTAATATATTACTTTATCCCATTCTAATGTGTTAGTTTTATTAGGCTGCAATTTGAAAAAAAAATTGTAGGCCTATAAATTCCCACTGTCGTCTGTCTGTGGCTGTTAATCTGTCTAATTGACTGATTAACAGTCCTTAAACTTTAGAATGGAGTTAGATAGATGAAAGTCGAAACCAGATAAGGCTAGAAGGACTTGGATTAACTATATACGAACTTTCTGTTTTCACGGGAAGTCACCTTATTTCAATTCAAAAATTTTCCCATGTAAAGAGTTAGATGATCTGCAAGACTCTAACGCTGACAGATATCGTATGATGTACAGGGACATAATACTATTAATATGAGGCGGAAAGCAATATAATATGAGATGGAGAGCATATATATTTGAATTAAATAAATTAAACATATGATTAAAAATTGCAGCCAACATTATGACGATGTCACAATAAAATAATTGTTATTACTATGTTACCGCTAAAGCTCGAAAGTCGTTAATGTGCACATTACCTAGCTAATCTGCACATTAACTAGGGTGATCGGTTAAAGTTGCTAAAATTGTTCTATTTCTCAAATTACCTAGGAAATGTGCAGATTGTCTAGGTAATCTGCAAATTACCTACTAGGCACTCGGTAAAGTGAAAATAAGATCTTTGCTGGACCAACAGCAACGTTTCTGTACGCTTAAATTAACATAATATTCTTTATTTAATTTTCGATATCTAAAGAATCAAGTTAATACAATCAAACGATCAACAAATTAGTTGATGGAATCAATCATCAACCAGTTAAAAAACATAAAAAAAATCAAACGGTTTAAAATATTAATACAATTACGGAATTTATTATATAGAATTTCGGGATTTTGAGTATCTGTCTGAACAGAGGGGACCGAGACGACTTCAACGATACCCTACTTTTGGACCGGTGACGAAAAAAATAAAGTTATCATACTTTTTCTGGTGATCGCATGATATAATTGTGCAGTTAATGTTACCTATGGTAAGTAAAATGGCGGCTCGTCTCTGATTCCAGCAAACAGAAGAAAGGAAACAGTGGGGATGCACGTTCTAACCTAACCTAACCTAACTTATAATAAATTACCATAATTATTACCAACCAAATTATTAGGATAGGTTAGGTTAGATTTGAACGTGCGTCCCCACTGTTTCCTTTCTTCTCATTGCTGGAATCAGAGACGAGCCGCCATTTTACTCACATAGATAACATTATCCAATTGTGCTTACTTATTAGTGCAGTCTAATGATTGGTGACACTTTGAATTTCATAGCAATTGGTTTTTGCGACAAGAACACCTATTTGTTGTACATTTATTTGTGGCAAAGATCTTATTTTCACTTTACCGAGTGCCTAGTAGGTAATGTGCGGATTACCTAGATACTCTGCACATTATCTAGGTAATTTGAGAAATGGAACAATTTTCACAACTTTAACGGATCACCCTAGTTAATCTGCAGATTAGCTAGATAATGTACACATTAACGACTTTCGAGCTTTAGCGGTAACAACTACATTATTACTATGTTTTAACACGTTTAAACTACAATGTTATCTAATGTCTTTAATACTGTCTGTAATCACGATAGTTTTTGTCTTTCAGTTTGTAATTCGAATTGAATTTGCTTTAAGTATTTTACTTATTAACTGTAATAAAAGATATTCATTAACTATGTATGGCATTATCAAAAAATATGATAAAATATCAGCATAGAAAAAATTAAAGCAATGACAGAATATTTCAGTTATCTTTTCTCAATACACAGTATAACCTGTCTATCTCGAACCTGACGGGAACTAGAAACAGTTCGAGATAGACGGGATTCGAGATATGGAGGTTTTGAGAAAAAATTATCCGACAGAATTTGAAAAACATATTAAATATAATCTAAAAACGTAACACAAAGAATGATAATAAATTTCCATATAAAGAAGTTTTCGATATAACCATTTTTGAAGTACACACATTTAAGGGAGTCAGCCAATCTCTCTGTAAGAACCGGAATCGAGTACGGGGTTGCAATCTCCCGTTTTATTTTGAATTAGTCAGACCCTTTATGTCGTCTCACCACATGGCCGTTCCCATAAAAAAAAAACTTGGCAGATTCTTTAATGAGTGAGATTTAATTAACCTTTTTAGAGTTTCAAGACGAAATCGGGCAGAAAAAACAGACATTTTCAAATTTGAACTACTAAAATATTAACACTTGAATGAAATATGGAAACTTTTTCCGGATTTATTCACGTGTTTAATACTGTACGAAGAGTTTATCTTCAAGCTAAGAATATTTTTTATGTGGTACGTTTATTTCTTTTATAAATCCTATTGTTTTCTGATTTGCAAATTCTTACCTCACTTATAAGAAATTGCTTTTCTGTATATTGTATTAATTTCTCTCTTTTTTTAAATTCATACTATTTATTCACTTAAACAGATTTATTCAAAAGTTATAGTTAAATATATAAAATTACTTGTTCTGACTGATTAACTGATTAATTCATCATTTCCCAGAGCAAACCGCTGACCCTAAAGAGGTGAAATTTGGTACACAGTTAGGGTACGTCATGGAAACGCACACTATGACCAGATTTTTCGAAATTTCTCCGCGGGGAGAGGGAGAGCATTAAGGCTTAACCGGAAAAGCGGCTTCTACTGTACTATTTTAGATGTATTTTTTTCTTTTTTTTGTTTTCAACTGAGCTTCAGTAGTGTACACCGTAGGGTATTAAACTTTAAAGAGGATGAATAAAATCGTGTCCCCATACACAATATTATACATACATTCAGAAAAAACCGTCTGTTATTGCATTTCTCACTCTAATATCTGTAAAAATCTTGGTAGTGATGTCTTGACCGAAGCCATACTTTACCTCTGTTATATAATAAAAAAAGTAAAACTACGATTCAAAATACCAGCTATTTCGAAATAAAAAGTTTAATCTTTCCTACTTAAAACCCTATCTGTCTTTAATAATAAATGCTTATTATTTTACAAGTTATAATATGTAACTGAAAAAGTTACTTATCATGTCAGTCTGCACCTCTTTTTTTAAGAAAATTGTTAGTTATCGATAAGACAAAAAAAAAACATTTCAAAAAAAGGTGAGATGTGGAACTCATCCCAAATATATCGCAGACTGATAGATTTTTAAAATATTTTAAAAAGGATCGGTAAAAAAATAAATTTTGAAATGAATGTAATAAAATGTATAAAATAAACCGACGTCCAACCCCTTCCACTTACCTTAGTGTGGACGTCGTTTATGAACAGCACCATGTTTAAAAACTCATATTACGTAGTACTGTATATAGTTTGCTTGTGTTACGAGTTGTGTTTTTAAGGGCAAACTGGCCCATATTCGGGCGTAACAGACGTGGGGGAAAAACAGAAAACTCCGCGTGGCCAGCCTGTCTCGGCAAGGCGCGAACCCACAACCAAACTCCCAGTATTCAGGGAACGGAACCGCTTGGCCACTGGTTTTTTTTTCTTTTTTTAATAAACCTATTTGCAAAATTTCAGAAGTTCTCGACAAAAAGTACAGAAGTTATTAAACTTCAAAGAAGATGCTCGCTCACATCCATACACCCAAACATTATCTGAATTTTTTGCATTTCTCGATGTTTTAAGGTGTGCTGAGCCCATAAATGTAAATATCTAGGATATAGGATCATTTTTTGCCGGATCGCCATCCTTTTCCTTGTTATAACAGACGGGAAAGTAAAATGATTATAATAATATAAGTATATATAATAATATAAACGTTTTATAAAAAGTATTTGAATTATGGTACTTAATAATTATGGTACTGAAATTTTGCAAATAGGTTTATTAAGCTTTTACTAATACTTAAGTTTTATATCCTAATATAATTGAAGATTATTGTACTTCCCATATATATGCGTAATCTTAATTCAATCTGAAATTGAGCGCAGGATTTACTGTGTATAATTTAACTGTATTAATTTAATAATTAAAATCGATTATTTTTGAACTTCCAAAATAAAAATTTTATTACCTCGTTTAAGTATGAAATATACATATGAGTTTCTATTGATTTTTTTTTAATTTTTACAGGCAGAACAATGAAAATTTTCCATTTTATAGCAATTATTATTTCGTTGTTTAATTGCTACGAGCAAAACTCATTAATTGTTAATACAACATCTGGAATATTTAAGGGAAAGACCATGAATATTCAAAATGTAAACGTACGTGAATATTTAGGAATTCCTTATGCATTACCTCCAGTCAAGGAATTAAGATTTAAGAATCCTCGACCTGCACCATATTGTTGTCATATTCGAGAAGCTATTCATAAACCGCCCTCTTGTTTGCAAATCCTCACCGATTTTACTGTGAAATCAACAGAATTATTGCCAATGAGTGAAGATTGTCTTTATCTTAACGTTTGGGTTCCAGAACGTGAAAGGCAACAACAACCTTTATCAACCATGGTCTGGATTTATCCCGGATCATTCGTCATTGGATCGGCAAGTGATGAATTGTCTGATGGCGAAGTAATTGCAGCTGTTGGAAATGTAATCGTAATCAGTATTGCCTATCGATTGGGTCCATTTGGATTTTTTCACTTTGATGAAGAAGAAGCACCCGGAAACATGGGCATGATGGATCAAGTCTTAGCTGTGAAGTGGGTCCATAACAACATCAAAGAATTCGGTGGTGATCCAAATAAAGTTATACTGTTTGGACAAAGTTCGGGTGGCATATCTATTGCTAACCATTTAGTATCTCCTTTAATGGAAGGATTATATCAACGTGTTATAATTCAAAGTTTGTCAAAGTTAAGTGATAATCAAATATTTACTTCAATAAATATCTCTAACAATAGAGACATTAGTAAAATTATTGCTACAAATGTAGGATGTGCTAATGATAATTCTAAGGAGGCAGTAGCTTGCATGAGACAGTTGGAATCGTCGGACATTGTTTTGGCAATGGAAGATTACATGAATAGTATTCCAATAGGAATATCATTATTGCCCGAAATTAACAGTCCATATTTACCCGATAACATAGTTAAAATTCATAATGTAGATATCATGATTGGCAACGTCGTTGACGAAGAATCAATATTTTTGGAATTGTATCATCCTAAATTTCTGGAAGAGGAGAATCCAAAATTGAATAAATTTGAAGCTGAACGAGACATAAAGATGTATTTTAATAAAACTGATGAAAGAACAGATTTTCGGGTTATCTTCAATGAATATCTCGGAAATGTTTCTGATACTGATTACACCACTATTGTTAACAGAACATACAAAGCAATGGGAGATGGCCTTCGTCTTTGTCCTTCTTACTTCATGGCAGAAACTCTTACGAAGAATCGTAATCTTTATCATTATATGTTTAATCATAAAAGAAGAAAGTGTGGAAGACCGAAATGGACCGGTGTGGCTCATAGTGAAGAATTATATTTTCTGTTCGGAATGCCTTTCAAGAATCCCGAATGCTACACCTTAGAAGAACAAGATTTTTCTGTCAAAATTATACAAATGTGGACTTCTTTTGCAAAATACGGGTAAGGAAACCGTTAGCATTTTAAATTTTAATTCTTATTTTTTAATGTCGATACAAATCATACAGATGCTTACTTTTATTTCTTAACGATAGTATCACGAGACTTTCTATATAGTTAGAACCACTAATCCAGTTAAAATGAATGCTACTCCAAAGTATACTTTTTACGATTTGAAATTGATTTTATATCATAAAGTTGTATCAAAAACAACCTTCTAGACTATTATATAATTTCAAGGGACAGGTTTATAGGTCGGAAGGATTGCCCCTAAACCTGAAAGAACAACATAAAATTGATCTGAAAAAAGACGAAAAAATTTCATATTGAAGTGTTAATATTATCAAGTCATAAATGAAGCAAAAGTGAAAAATCCAGCAACGCGTTGCTTAACGTTTCTGGCATGATTTGGGGTGTCATTTGTTATCATATTTTATAAAAACTTTTTATATTTTTAACTATTATAAAATGGCAAAAAGTTTAATTTTGAGGGTAGAGATGGATTTTATAAAAAATTCTAATAACGAGTAAAATCGTCATTAAATACGACCATACTGGACATGCACACGACTTTTTTTATCTCTCCTCCCCTCGACCTTTAATTACCAAAATTTAACAGCTTTAATCCTCCTAATACATAAACCTGCCTTCAAAATTTTAGAAATTTTCGGCAAAAAGAACGTGTTATTAAGCTTCAAGAAAATACATACAGAAAAAACCCCGGAATTTTCTTTTCGTATATCTCGACGTTACAATGTATCCTGAGTCCGAAAGTATAAAGTCTTGGATAGGGGTAATTTTTTAATCTATCGCTGTTACTTTCCCTATTTTATATATAACAGCAGAGAAAGTAGAAAAAAGTAATAAAACAAAGGAATAATTCATTGGTGAAAATGACTGCTTTCCGCAATTGTAAGAGGAAAACTTTATATATCTGGACACTTTGGTTGTATCAAAGTAAAATTCGGTGGTAATTCAAACATTCAAATTTAAAAAGTCAAAATTTTTTTAGCTTTCTATGACAAATTTGATTAGTGGGCAAGTAAGATTCAATAACAGTCAAAATGACCATACTTGCGGTTCTAGTGTTAATTTTACTTGTAATTTTTACTATATCTTTATAATTATATAAGGGAGATTAGAACAATTTAGAAGCTTGACGTCCGGCTTTACACAGTGTCTGGGTAAAGTCGGACGCCAAGCTTGTAAGTTTGCCAAGCTTGCCAAGCTTCAAAATATATAATATCTTACGTAAAATTCTGATATAATAATTGTCAAAAATAATCCATGTATAAGGAGAGTAAACTGTAGTATAAAAATTTTAATGATATGTGTATTTTTAAAATATAAGTAATGGAGTTAATTCGATGCTTCTTTATGTTTTTGTGATTGGTTAGTTCTTTAATTTATCTAAGACAATTCGTGTTTTGTAGTATGCAAACAATTCACTGGGATATTTTCGTACATCACTTAACCCTTCTTTAGGGCGTATGAAGCAGAAATTTTTACTGAAGTTCTGACTTGAACTGATGAATAAGGATAAAGAATATACCTCAATCCATATTAATGTACAGTACTAACTTCTGAGGAACTTATCGATTGTTTGAGGAACTTCAATTACAGTATGTTGCGTCTATAATTGTCCGTAAAATGAAAATTTTCTGGAAATGAGATAAATTTTTATGAGATTATAGTGATTTTCATTACGTTTAATCTTGAATTTGTTCTTTTATTTTACTGGTTCACAAACATAACTCGAGAGATGATCATCAGTTAGCCATTAGAAGTATGTAGGGGAGACCGGGGCAACTTCGGAATGCGGGGCAAGTTTGTCAAGCGCTTTTTTTTAAAAACAAATTAAAAGGAGACTTTGGTTATAGGTTAGGCAGTTGAGTTTTATTGGTGGCTTGTTGAGTGTAGTGTTTTTATTGTTCTCCAACAAGCGTAGTTGAATTATCAAGCAAATTTTCATTTTCGTTCAATTCCATATAATATTTTTTTTCCATTTATATTGAATTGGCAGGTTTTGTTATAATTCCATGATAACGAAAGTTACTTTTCCTGTTAGAAGGATGTAACTTCAACTTATTCACGTGGCCAGATCGTGGCTTGGCATTCTGTTCTCAGGGTTGTACTTAATGTTTCGAAATCATGACTAGCGGGGTAAGATCGGCAACATAAAGCCACATTAGAAGCAAAGGATAAAAATCAAACAGATGATAAATGAAAACATGTTTGCATTTGTTATTCATGTATATATGTCTTTGAACTTGCATTTCGTTGTAATAATATTAAATGGGTGTTGGATTTGTATTTCTTTGTTTTAATAGTGAATTCCAACTTATACATTGTTAATAACATAATTTTATATACGTGCCTATCTTGCCCCATTACTGTTGCCCCTATACCAGGGGCAACTTTAATAAAAATAATTAAAATAATTACAACTTTACAAAAAGAGAGAAGTTGCCGATCTTGCCCCTATACCCGGGGCAACTTCGTCAATTTCTCTCTTCTTGTAAAGTTGTAATTATTTTAATTATTTTTATTTCCAAACTGATTTTAACCAGTTCTATAGTAAGGTAACATTCCAATAGACAATATGCAAAGCTTTTTTTTCAGTTTACAGCAGTATTTATTACACAAAATTTAAGTAAAGCTTAACATGCCGATCTTGCCCCGGTCTCCCCTATATGATATTTATGGTGCAGTGTCTATCGTGTGATGACGTTTAAAAGTGCAACTTGTTTCCTATTCGACTTGTCTAATCTATATCCTTTCAAATCATAACTACAACTAATTTTATCTGAAGTAATACTCATAAACTATAATTAATTAATCATGACTAAGAATTTATATATAAGAGAATACAGGTTAGGTCATTTTTATACCGTCGATTTTCTTTTAAAGTAATCCGTGCACTAGTGCGGAAAAACCACTGAGCACTGTGTAAAAACTACCAGTGTGAGATTGCATCACACCAAGTTCTTCCGAGGGAATCTTCCCCTCGACAGATCGTTGCCACATATGTTTAATAAATTAATTGAAATCCGATTGCAATTAAATAAAATAAGAAACGTAATTATGATCGATTTCGTATAATTGAAGTACTATTGCATTTTGTGTAAACCTATTACATTAAAACACATGTATATTCGTTTTCAAAATATTCGAAATAATCATTTTATAAATGTATTCTGTATGAGAATTATGAATTTTTTTTAAGACTTAATGATATTTAAATATTTATATCGCGATAATCACAAATTGTATATAATACAGTAATCGTGTTTAATGAAATGCTTATAATACACTAATTGTGTAATAAGTATTTAATAAACAATATCTAATGTTTTATAAATTATTTGTACTTATTATTTCAGGATACCTTTTTATCCTGGCATGGATACACCATTTTTACCGTTTGGTACGGAGAAGAACTCAATCGAAATTCGACTGGAAGACATGCAAACACGCAAAGACCCGTTAAGGAATATTTGCAAAGTCTGGAGAAATTTCTATCGATACCGACAATTTTTTGTGGAAGGAAAAGATCCTCATTAAATAGTATTTAAACGAGGATTTTTCCTAACGAATACTGAATAAAATTAAGTTTCCATTAATTTTCTAGTCAACATGATTAAAATTTTTCAGGAATTTCATTTTTTTATTGTAAACGGAATGGAATTAAAAATTAAAAAAAGTTTTATATCAATGACTATTTTTAAAATTTCTTTGTACTATTATATTCCTTTTTGAGCTTTTACGAGAAATTTTGTTAGAAAACTTTCTAGATAAATTATAAATACACAACGAGTAATTATTTAATTTTTAATCATACTTTTAATTTATTTAACTTAAAATATATATTCTCCACTTCAAATTAGTAGTGTCTATTTCTGCACATCATACTTTTCCTGCTAGCAATAGAGTCGTGCCGGACATCTATCTAACTCCTTTCAGGGAGAAAGCGATACCATTTTAAATTTTACCCTAAATTCCATTAGGCACGTTAAATGGTATAAGAGAACAACGACATTGTCACCTCGAGCCCACTGTATATTGTAAACGAAATTTCGATATACACTATGGTCCCCCATTTTTATTACATTTTCGTCGTAATTAAAGAAAAATAGCAAAGTTTAATCATAATTGATCGATTAAATTGTGAGATAGAACGCAATTTTGTAATCTATATAATGAAAGTAATTGAAATGTTTGAACATTTCGATTACTTTTTAAAATTTATTTATAGATTTACAATTAACAGGAAAAGAAAATTGTAATTGCATGCTTAATTGTCAATTATTTTGATGTAATATTGTAAGAGGTAATTCATAAATATGAAGCATACACATTACATTTTTAATGAAATTATTTATTAAATCATTATTCAAGATAAATACAGAAAATACTGCATTTAAAGTATGTATATTATAAAATAAATATAAAAATTATTTATGCACAGAATTGAATAAACAAAACAGTTAATAATATTTTCATGTAAAAAAACTATAACCAAACCTTATTAAGAATTAATTAGTAATTACCGAAACATATACTTCACATAACCTAACTTAAAGTTATTTTATGTGAATTATAAAATGGTTTATATACGTATTATATACAGGCAAAAAATAATTTTAAAACCTTTAACAATAAACAGTAGCAAAGAAATATGTAATTTATTCTATATTTTGGTATTGTATATAATTAGCTATATATTCACGTACAGTTAATGAATGTTACTAAATCTACATTTAAAACATAAGGCAAAGTAATTCTTAATTCATATTTTCTGGAAAACTCATAACACTTATACAAAGTAAGTAGACATTATCAATATAGATACATTTTACTGGTATATTCCTTCAGAAAATTCTTCCAATATTCGCACTTTTCATCTGTTTCAGCTTTCTCAAGATGGATGTTACCCAGAGTGAGAGAAAGTGAGTTACGTTCTTCTTTATTAAATAATTTCCATTCGTTTTCCATTCCTTCGTACGAAGGTTTGCTAGAAGAAACAAATAAAGATAATATTGTTACATCCATTTAGCGTCTAAATAAACCACAGTGGTTCAAATATGGTCACTGTCAAACGTTAAGGAAATTTCAAACAATATCAGAAATTGTTTAGAATTCAAAAGCATATACTGTCCTTAACAGAGCTTACAATAAAACATTGAAAATGCCATAAAACGTTATCTAAGAATTAAAAAAAAATTTTAAAACATCTTCCATGTTAAGAATTCCGTGTTCTTAAAATGGCGACTTGTTATGATCATTTCAGGACTATAGCTATTTAAAAGAATAATTACTAGCAGGTAGGCCCGGCATTGCTCGGGCAAAAATTACAATAGCGAAGATTAAGATTATTACGTTATAGTCAATCTTACCCGTTTTTACAGAATGCAAGAATTGGATTCCTCTGTTTCCGGACTAATTAGAGAATTTTTAGATGGGTCTAAAAATATGTTCGATTTCCAGCAAAAACGAAAATACTGCATCCGCGTCTTGCACGTCGCTTTCTATTAACAATTCCATTGTTACGTAACACTTCCATTGTTGACACTTCCATTGCTGATAGAAGTGTTAATCCTTTATCCTGTCTCTCTCCCCCGTGGGGAGGTATTTCGAAAAATCCCTTCTTAGTGTGCATTCTCGTGACGTACCGTGTTTCCCCGAAAATAAGACATCCGCAGAAAATAAGACCTAGCACAGATTTTGCTGAATTGCGAAATATAAGACCCCCCCTGAAAGTAAGACCTAGCGAAGTTTTTGTTTAGTCGTAACGGTCATCGACAGTTGGTTGAAAGTGGCCGTTGGCTTTTTGAAAGTACAGCCACTGATTGGTCAGCAGACAATCACGCCACACGGCATGATTTGCATAAGACTATGGCTTGAAAATCACAGATTTGCATAACGTTACGGCTGGTGATGGCTAATTGGTCGGCCGGGAATCATGACACATGACATTTGCATAGTGCTACGGTTCAGTAAGCACTAATTGGTCATCGAGTCCGATGTTGACGCTATAAAAAGGCGACAGTTCGACACACCGGATATACGTCACTCTCGTCTAAGTTCGGCTTGAAAATGTTTTAGCGCATTTTTCAGAGCAAAAATTAATATAAGACACTGTCTTATTTTCGGGGAAACACGGTACACTAACTGTGTACCAAATTTCAACTTTCAACTCCTAACCGTTTGGGCTCTGCGCTTATTATTATTATCATTATAAACCCGTCTCGATTAGATAGATTGTAAAACGGTTAAACACAATCGTTTCATTAATTCTAATACAAGACAATAACAGAAGATTGTTTTTATAGTTGTTTTTTTAAGGGGTGAAATAAACTACATTTCTAGACGCCTCCTTTAATAGGAGCTGGTTTAACAAACACACATAATTGGATAGATGAATGAAAAGATTATTAATTTAACCGCAAAATTGCAAACGTTTCTTTACATAGAGTTAATATAGGCTATATGAAATATATATAGTTTAATTATGCAACATTGTAGCTTATAATGGACATTTAATGGCCATATTAACAACTCCCGTGTTTGATATTTGAAGCAAAAATAACTCTAAATTACAGAAATTTTCATAAAGTGTCATACGGTTTATAATTACTATTAATTATAAAATTATCGAAATAATCGGTTTTTGGTAATTTACAACATTCATAGAATAAACAGAGAAAGAATTTTACCATAATTTTAATGTTTACGTTTTTAAAAAAGAGAATTTCTTTCTTTCTCGACATTTATTTGAATCACTTGGATAGAATGCATTGTGGAAACTTCTCTTATGCATATGCATTGGTAGTGCCTCCATTTATGAAAATCCTGCTGACAAAAACGGGGAAGCAGGCTTATGGCCATATTATGACCATGTCTACATTTAGCCGAAATAATTATATTAAGAAGATGCAATACCATTAACCGATATAAAAATTATAATTAGTCTGAAATTTTTCAAATTCATAAGCATGTATTTATGTATCTCGTGTATCAATTTGTATAGGAAGAAGTCTTTCAATTACACGTAACTAATAAGGTTTGACTTATAATTTCAGAAGAGACACCAGAATAACAATTTTTATGTTTATATCGTATTTTACCGGAGAAACACACATCAGCAAAGGATTATCATCATTTACTAGATGCTTCTGAAGTATTTTCTATAAAGCTAACATTTACATTTTGACTAATATAGATATTATATTCTGATTAATAAAAATGCAACATTTAAGATTAATTGTAACTTGTTTGATTATGCAAGACGAAGGTAAATACTGTATTTAATACATTTCTGCGGGAAAATACTTTTCCAAAAATTTTCGAAAACTATATATAAAAGTATTTAATATAATTATATATGTTAAAAATATATAGTATTTTGTAAATTTCCGAGAAATTATCTAGACTTACCTTAATTTTTCAGAAACTAATTTACAATAAAATTTTTATAAATTAAACCTTCATGTTGCAACATACATGTTATAATTATCACCAGAAACACTGTCCAATGTAATTATTACATGAGACAGTTTTTACGGGCATTAATACAATTTAATGTGTTGTAAAACGATTGCATAACTTGCTACATGTATTATTAGATGTGACAAAGCATGCGAACAAGGTTATTAAAAATTTATAAATATATAAATAATAATAGAGTAATATTGTTTACAAGAATAAAGAGTAGAACCACTTGAAACGATAATAGTTATCAAGTGACTAGTTAATTGTAAATGTAATTTATTCCATTGAAAAGTTCTTCGTAATTTATAAAATTAATTGACGATGGTAAACTAGGAAGCTAATGAAACGTCATTACGATTAAATAAATATATAATTTCGCATGTCAATAACCAGCATAAACAGTATAAAATTTACTCAACATGTATTTTACGTCATAAAAATGTTCGTTATAGCTTTATGCACAAGGTACCAGTTAGGGTTTCTCATTTCCCGGTCTTTTGCTTGTCCCGGGATAGAATTAATTATTTTTAAGGTATACAAAATATCTTGAAATCAAATGATATAATTATTTTCCATTTTTTAAAGTAATTTTAAAGTTCTGTAACCTCCAAAATCATATTAATAATGCTGTGTAAGGTCTATAGGCCTATAATAAAAATTACCTTTAAATAACGTAGAAATTTTCACAAATAGAAAAAAATTAATTAAAGTTTGCTGGAAACTGCATACAACAACAACAAAAAAATGTTTTGAGTTGAGTTAAAAATTAAAAAAAATGAACTTCTAATTTAGAAGGTAATTTTCGTTTTTTAAATAAAATATAATACAAAATATTGCAAACTTTTATAAGATTTTAAAAAGCAAAGATGGTCAATACTCCGATAACTCACTCTAATTCTTATTTTAGTAATGAAAAGTCTTGCCACCGAGAATGCCCTTTCCGATTCAATTGATGTGATTGGAATAGTGTTTAATGCATTTAAGAGAAGACAGATATTATGTGTTTTTTCACCTGTAGCCTGGAAGATTTCGAGTTCGTTTTCGAGGTTGTAATACTTCTTTTGCTCTCTAGTATTCTTCATTTGTCTACTTCGACTGCTTTAATAGAAACATCAAGCTTATAGCCCAATAATTCGTCAGTTAGTTTGTCTTTGATCATCAGGTTTATGAAGAAAAACTTCGTACTTACAGACATCGTACAACATGGTGTTACGCGTTATCGAAGCTATTGGGCATGGTTAAAAATTAAGACAGCATAAGCACAATTATTCCAGATATTACAGGTTCCAACAAGTAAAGAATTTTGAGAGTCATGACACAAATAAGCTATGTATTGATTATTGACCATTTGTGACATGCTATAATGAGCAAAAACTTAAGAAACTAATAAGTAGGTTTAAAATTGATAAATACAAATGTATTCTGACAGTTTATGAGTTAATTATGCTTTCTATTTGCAAAATTCCTCAACCTTAACACAAAATAAGAAAAAAGGTGAATTTTTAAGAAATTTGCGGGATTTCCCGGGGTTAAGAAAAATTTCCCGGGATATTTCCCGTGTTAAAAAAACAACCGGGATCCCGGGATCCGTTTGAGAAACCCTAGTACCAGTATAAGCATAAGAAATGTTTCGCGTCAGAAGTTTATTTTATAAAGCTGCGGAACCAATCATATTTGATCCTATATTGACGTCAATGCATCGTCATAGCCTAATGTTTGAGTGTTATATTGTTTTTACTTCGGTACGTGTGTTAGCAATCTTGCTTTTAGTTATCGGCTGTTAATTAGTTATTTATTAGCGCGATGGCATAATCTTTAATGTATCCTGGAGAAAACAGAGCAAGAGCGTTTATGTTTGTTACATTTTACAACATAACAGGCTTAGATAAGCAAATGTCTTCTAATGTTATGTGTTTATAGTTATAACGTTCGGTAAATATAACGTAAGTACGTCGTGCGCAAACGATGCAATTAAAAAATAAATTATATCGCTCGCGATACGAGGACTGTACAGAAAAATGCTATAAAATTGTAAATAATACAGTGTAAACTTACCATTAAAAACAATAACTTGAATCTTACCCTTTTTTAGCAAAAGTAGTCCACAGTTGCATAATTTTCTTGCTAAATGCAATTTCTTCTTTACTGTAAGAACGCTTCTTCAATAATGGCCTACCAAACACGAAATATGTTTCTTCAAAATGTGGTACTCCCATCCATTTTCTGATTTTAGATTTAACTCGAGTGTGATTAAATTTGTAACGATATACTGCGCGATCATACTGAGAAAGTCTATCAGCAAGATGAGCTATGGGACAATTGAATGCTCCATTCGCGACAGCCCTACATGTTTGTTTTAAAATTTTTGAATAGTCATTGCTTGATATATTTCCTAAATATTCCTCTACACAACCATCTAGATATTGTCCAGTTAATTTTAAAACTTTACTCATAATATATTTGCTGTCGTTTTTTGTAAAAGTTGGGTGGTTTTCTGCTGCTAGAAGGGGTCTCAGAAAGTAAAGAAAGACAGAACCTTCATTCATTACTTCACCCATCAAAACATCTACATCATGAAATTTACCAGCGTCAATATCGTAAAATGGATCGTCAGATAGAAATGGAGGACCGACTTGTGGATGATAATATAGTAATATTTGTTGTTGTTTAATCAATCGCTTTTCAGCTGCAACAATTTCATATGCATTCTTTTCTCTCATACATGTTAACATATCAGATACGTTGCAGCCGACTTCCTGTGAAAGCATAACTGTATTTTCTCTGTTGAATGTAGTATTCACAGCAAAATATTCCAGATAATTGCTTCCACTTTGCAGAATTACTCTTTTGAATAAGCCTTTGATCATAGGCGAGACCATGTGATGAGCGATGGAGATCGCTCCCGAACTCTGGCCGAAAACAGTTATCAAATTTTTGTCACCTCCGAAAGTTTCAATATTTCGATGCACCCATTTGAGAGCCATTACTTGATCTAACATGCCCATATTTCCTCGTTCGTCTTCGTCATTAAAACTTGCGAAACTTAATGCAGCTAGACGATAATTGAATGTAACTACAATCACATTACCCACAGCGGCTAAAGCGGAGCCATCAAAAACGTTCATGTTAGAAGAACCCGTGTGAAATGATCCGCCATGTATCCAAACCATGGTAGCAAATGGATTTCCATCTGGCTTCGAAGTAGGTACCCAAATATTAAGATAGAGACAATCTTCGCTAAGACTTTTAGGATTACGATCGATCCATTCTAATATAGGGTAAGGCGGATCTTGCATGCACGAAGGCGATCTTTTTGTTGCATTATATATGATAGTCGAATTGTATCGAGCAGGTTGAGGTTTACGAAATCTTAGCTCATTAACTGGAGGTGCTGCATAAGGAATGCCAAAAAATGCGTAAACAATTGTGTTTAATACTTTTACTGTTGTTCCTCTGAATTTACCACATATTGGAGAATTATTGCTTGTTTTGACAGATTGCAATATAATGTATATCTCGAAAATAATTATTATTAACAAAGTCTTCATCTGTAATTCTGTAAAATAATAAAAACGAGATTTATTTTTTATTGTCTGTATTAAATGAGATAAATTTGTATTATTTATTACTTGCTTTTCATATATTATTAGTATTAATCGTTCAATTTTATTAGCACGTCTAATTACAGAGAAACTAAACTGTTACTTTATATTCTAATATAAAGTTTTTATAAATAAATATTACTGACATTCGGAATTAAAAATTTTATGCAAACATCAAGATTTGTTTCGTATAAAGTTAATTAGAGCTGAGTTTAGAAGTCCTGCAAGATCTCACGTAAACATATATTTTAAAATTTGAAACCTATTTTAAAATATTATAAACCCAACCTGTACCAGGCCCTGTACACACTAGGCGTTTTTCAACGCGCGTTAAACGCTCGTCGAACGCCGAGCTAACGCGCGTTAGCTCGGTCAACATGATTAAAATTTTTCAGGAATTTCATTTTTTTATTGTAAATGGAATGGAATTAAAAATTAAAAAAAGTTTTATATCAATGACTATTTTTAAAATTTCTTTGTACTATTATATTCCTTTTTGAGCTTTTACGAGAAATTTTGTTAGAAAACTTTCTAGATAAATTATAAATACACAACGAGTAATTATTTAATTTTTAATCATACTTTTAATTTATTTAACTTAAAATATATATTCTCCACTTCAAATTAGTAGTGTCTATTTCTGCACATCATACTTTTCCTGCTAGCAATAGAGTCGTGCCGGACATCTATCTAACTCCTTTCAGGGAGAAAGCGATACCATTTTAAATTTTACCCTAAATTCCATTAGGCACGTTAAATGGTATAAGAGAACAACGACATTGTCACCTCGAGCCCACTGTATATTGTAAACGAAATTTCGATATACACTATGGTCCCCCATTTTTATTACATTTTCGTCGTAATTAAAGAAAAATAGCAAAGTTTAATCATAATTGATCGATTAAATTGTGAGATAGAACGCAATTTTGTAATCTATATAATGAAAGTAATTGAAATGTTTGAACATTTCGATTACTTTTTAAAATTTATTTATAGATTTACAATTAACAGGAAAAGAAAATTGTAATTGCATGCTTAATTGTCAATTATTTTGATGTAATATTGTAAGAGGTAATTCATAAATATGAAGCATACACATTACATTTTTAATGAAATTATTTATTAAATCATTATTCAAGATAAATACAGAAAATACTGCATTTAAAGTATGTATATTATAAAATAAATATAAAAATTATTTATGCACAGAATTGAATAAACAAAACAGTTAATAATATTTTCATGTAAAAAAACTATAACCAAACCTTATTAAGAATTAATTAGTAATTACCGAAACATATACTTCACATAACCTAACTTAAAGTTATTTTATGTGAATTATAAAATGGTTTATATACGTATTATATACAGGCAAAAAATAATTTTAAAACCTTTAACAATAAACAGTAGCAAAGAAATATGTAATTTATTCTATATTTTGGTATTGTATATAATTAGCTATATATTCACGTACAGTTAATGAATGTTACTAAATCTACATTTAAAACATAAGGCAAAGTAATTCTTAATTCATATTTTCTGGAAAACTCATAACACTTATACAAAGTAAGTAGACATTATCAATATAGATACATTTTACTGGT